TTGCTTAGTTTGAAATAGACTTGTGTTTATTCCTTTAAAAAAAAAAAAGTAAACCATGAGAAAATTGTTTTCGAATTGCAGCACAGTTTCGATGCCATATATGTTACGGAATGTATTTGCAACATATTGATGCGGCATTGTTTTTGCAAGCATTTGGAATGTTTCGGAACGTACCTGGCTCGCGCTCATCATCGCTGCTGGTAATATCATCGCTGCTCAGCAGCAGGGCATAGTCGGAATTTCTTTCACGCCGGCGACCACGATTAGGACTGCGACCCCGACCTCGACCGCGACTCCGGCCGCCCAGCAGCAGCCCCTCGCACTGCAACAGCCTTTCCATTGTGCGGGGAGGTGCGGAGTGCGGTACGGCGGATTCACTTGTTTTGGAATGACTTGGACTCGAGAATATTATTGCGACATTTTAGCGGGCACCAAGCAGAGCGACCAGCAATCATTCAAAAGTTGATTCATCCGCAAACGTTGACTATGTGGCGCTATCTGAGCTAATTTAATGTTAACTGCGGCTTCGTCTGCGGCTGCGGCTGTGGCTGTGGCCGTCTCTCAGCAGTAAATATTACTGTTGTTGGGTAGCTACTGTTTAATCTGTTTCTTCCATGCATACACAAACAAACAAACACACACACACACTCACTCACACACTTTACTGGCTGGGCGCTCTCAATATATATTCTCAACGTATTTCACCTATTAGCACTAATACTTATGCGCACGTAAACGCAGGGCAAGGCAACTGGCCAACTGTCAACAGCTGAGCGTCAAAAGCCAAACTGCTCTGTCAAAATGTCAACAGCGCTGCGTCCGAGCAGCATAGCATCCAGCAAGAACAACAACAACAACAACAACGTAATTAATAAGAGCAACACCCAAATGAAGACCATGTGCATAGCTCTATTCGATTGTTCCAACCGCACAATGTTTTAGGTTCGGGTTCAGCGAGTTGATGAATTTAAGCTAGTGCAAATTGAAATTCAAATTGTTTAAAATGTCATTTGGTGAAAAATACTCAAGCATAGTTATATACGGTTTGTCTTCAATTCGAACAATAAAAATTGATATTTTGAAAGTTAAGTTTTAATTCAATTTAACTTTGTAGGGATAGGAAAAGAAAATTTGTTCAAGAACATCAAAAATCATTTTACCCAAAAAGTATCTGTATAAATTTGTTATTCTTCGAGCACACGATAAAATAATAAATATGTGCATATGAAAATACTTTGGCTTTTAAAAAACTGTCACATATTTTAAAGAGTCATAAACCATTGATAAGCATCGAAATCAAGATATTAGCATGGCAGGTGTCATATAATCATATTTTAAGCTCAATTAACGCGTCGCACTGTGAATGGCACAGGGAGGTAAATATTGAAACACCTGTCATGGTATTGACGTCACAAAGAAGTCATAAGAAAACGAAGAAGCAATAGTGAAACGCCTTTGCGATTTATGAGTAAATCGAAATATTTGCGATAATCATAGTTTCGTGTGCGAGCGACTCGCGCGCGCGTGCAAGCCCTTGAGAGAGCTGGAGCACAAATGAATTAAAACGCAGGTCGATTCGCAGTGCACTTGAATCAGCTACAAAATAGTAAACACAATAATGACGCAGGTGACAAAAGAACACTTTAGACAATCTCTCTCCCTCCCACACACACACACACAAACACACACGCAGACACACACAAACACGCAAGCGCCGGCCACTTGAACAGCTGTGCTGGTGCCCGTTATGCGCCGGTGCGCCGACAGCGACCGCGACCGCGACGCAGACGGCGACAGCAAAGCGAATAGCCGACAATGGCAATGATTGGAGGGCCGCCGGTGTGCCTAATGTTTGGTAAACAGTTTTGCAACAACAACAACAACAACAACAGCAGCAAAAACGGCAACAAATGTTACTAGGCCAAGCTGCCAGCCATTGAAGAAAAATATAATTGCCAGCATACAGATAAGTATAAATAATTGTAAAAATTAATAATTACAAGCAAATAATTAAATACGTATTGTTTAGGTGTGATGGTGTAATGCATGTAATATATTTTAATTAGCATTCATTAAAATATGTATGTATATACTGCAGTGAGAAGGCGAAAACAAAATAAAAAGCAAACTAACTGAAAGCCAAAACAAATGTAATTAAAGCATTAATTTAAATAGAATGAAATTTGTTAATGTGGCAAATGCAACTAAAACTAAATACGTGTCTATAAATAAAAAGGATAGCAAATAATATAACTGTGTTATAAATAGCTTACGTATGGGCCTGCGACGCATTCTGGACGCACTATTCTCGCCGCCACTGTTCATGTTGCTGTTCATCGGCTTCATGATGCCTGCCCTCGGTTACGTAGTGGACGACGACGATAACAACTGACAAGTGGGCGTAAATTTTGCAAAGAAAATATGTAATAAGATAAGAACCAAAAGAAAAAATGTATGTATGTATGTATGTATGTAGTAATTCCAAAGCAAAATTAAGACAAAGCCTATTTTGTACAGGCGTACAGTTCGGGCTATAAAACGCACACCAACACATAAGCTCAATAAGAATCAGCTGTAGAGGAGCATTTGTTCAGATAAACCAGGCCCAATATACTGGCCACGCACTGTTCACTAACAACTCGCGAACATCGACAGCGACAGCCGGAATACATTTAAACCGGTTAAAGCAGCAGCGACGCCAACTGCGATTGCGGCTATGTTTATTGCTGCTTTTCTAGTAAGCATACACATTCAAATTGAACAAATTTTACCTTTCCTGCTGACGCGACAAGTTTCAATGTTGAACGGCAACTGAAAACTAAAGGCAAAATCTGGCGCCGATCGGCAAAGAGCGAAGAACAGCAGCAGACACAAAAGACAATAATAACAAATGCCAAAAGGAAGGGAAATTTATCGTAAGAGCGAAAGAGAGAAAGAGAGCAAAAGCATAAAAAGCACAAAACCAAAACCAGAACCAGCTCCCCCAAACACTATTTCGCGCCCGAATAATGGCACATCCATACAGAGCGGCGAGACGGGGATATAGGACGTCTCACTGGCATGAACTTATCATAGCGGTAACAGACAGATAAGATATACATATGTATGTATGTATGTATATATGCACGTGTGCAGGACAGTTACAGCTGCGATAATTGTTGATAAGGCCAAATATGCTTTCGTTCAATCAACTATCATTTGCCAGCAGGCAAGAGTTACTGAAAAAAGAGACTATCCAGAGAAAGAGTTAGAGTGCCAGGCTCGCAGTCGCACGTAACGTCTGTGTGTGTGTGTGTGTGTGTGTGTGTAAGGCTTTGCGAATGTTGGCGAAATCGCTAGCCGAAGCCCATGGCATTGACACAGTCAGTTGACCTTAACACCTCACGATAATCGTTTTGATAAGGCATACACACATACATATGCAAGCAAATGAATACAGCTGAACTTGGCCCATTTTTCGATAAGTACTTGCACAGCTACACTCAAACATACAAATGTTTAATGAACAAATACAAAAACAAAAGGAAGAAAGGTGGCAAGCAAGAGAACAAGCGAATTCGAATTTCATTCATTGGAAAAATAAAGCACAACGAATGCCGCTCAATTTGTACATGTGTGTGTGTGTGTGAGCACATGGCGCGCACACATGTACACGCAGACGGTGCTAAACTGTCGCCGCCGTCTAAAAAACGAGAATTCCGAAACGGTTTTGAGGATTTCCCCGATTGTCTGCCTCATTTGATTAACCGTTTATTGATTTCATATTTGACAAATCACAGACACACCACACGCACACACACACACACACACACACCAACAACACCCGCACACAGGCATAACACGTGCAAGTTACACAAACCTTGCCTGTTGTTTTCTTCGTTTTATATTGATTTTTACCAACAGGGGCGGAATGTAAGGTGAAAAGGAACGTGGGAAAATAGCTGCACATTGCAGCTGACAGTGCAACGATGACGCGCGGGTGGATAGCCTTTTTACTAAATTTCATAATCAAATGAAATACTCACGAGTTTAGCACGCACCCGGACCACTAAGTGTGTGTAAACAATTATTGTTGGTTGCAATGGCACGTGTTATATTAGCTGATTTGAATTGGGTGATTTATTGCATTTGACTGTTTGTTGTTGTTTTGTTTGTTTTGTTGGTTATGTTAGGCTTCATATTTTTTCTAGACAAAAAAACAAAAGTATTGCCGCTAAATGTGTGCATGAAGAGATGGCAACACAATGAAACATTGACAGATAGAGAGGCACTTGAACACCAAACAAAAAAGTACACTTACTAGATAAAGAAATCAACAAAAATAACAACATTTAACAATTTCAAAAGAGCACTCACATCTCTTCCAGACAACTTTAGTCGCGGTAACAGCGCGAACTTGAAGTTTACTCGCTTCATTGACTTACAATTTCAAACTGAAGCAGCAGCAACAACAACGATGAAAAGCGTAGACGGCGACGGCGACGGCGACGGCGACACTTTCCACCCCATTCTGTATACAAGGGACAACAACAAGAACAATATGCAAAATCAAAAAGGCGCTTTCATTTGCGATGTGCATATGAAAGCAAGCACGACAACTCATCGATAACTAATTTATCGATGATATTTGAAATGTTCTTACACGTTCTGCTGACAAATATGTGTATTCGAATATGTTCTTAATGTCCCTTGGGATTGTCAGCTCACGCCAAATGAAAAAAAACCGTTATTATTCTCCCAACAAAAAACTTTTTTACAAATGAAAATTCTGTGAAATGAATAAGTAAATAAACGCGTTTGACAGCCGTTTAGTAAAGAGTTGACTGATTTCACGCATAACTATCAATTATACATTTTGAAAACAACGGCTGTTCGAATTCGAATTCGGTGAAGATTCTGGCATCCTTGTCGTTACAAAGTATCGATAAGGTATGTTGATTCAAAATCGATACTCATTTGATCCTCATAGCAGCCAGCAATTCTTGGAGTATAGTCTTGATTTAAAAAGAAGACTAGATTTGTTTAAGCTCGCAAATAGGACACAGTGTATTAAGTGCCGGACAAGGGATAACAGCAAAAAACACTCGTTTGTCTTGTTTTTAATATTTTCTTCGTTTTTTAAATATCTGTGTACACATGTACATATATTTTGCTCGCTTTCTTTACGTGTGTGTTGCCCCTGGCCCCCGCCGCATTTGATTTTGCTGGCAAGTGAACAATTGAAAATTTTGTGTTTTTTCCAACTATTTCGAGTCTATAATCAATTTGCGTCTGCAGATTGTGGGTAAGTAAGCTTTTAGTTAATGTTATTTGTACACTCCTTATAGTTATGGTCAATACCTATTAGTTGCATACCATATATGTATGTATATACCTACATTAATATATGTATGTAAGTACTAAGATACATACAAATGTACATCCATAGCTGAGACTTTTCTGCTTTCGCAATAAACACTGAGCGCAGCACGCACCGAATGCCATGCATACATACACACAGTTGCATATGTATTCATGTATACACACAAAGGCGATGAGCGCGTACGACAAAAAGTAACGGTGCTTTTCGGTTTGAGCGTTCGTTGCACCAGCCGCATTGACTCGCCATGCGAATAGAGCAGAAACAATAAATACATAGCTGTGCAAAGTGAACGACCAACAAATTTAAAGATGGCGGCGTTCATCAATTTAAACGAACACGATAAAGTGAACACACAGAAATAAGAAACTAGAACGGTAGCTAGAGGTGGGAGCGTGTTCAATTTTTATCATTATCAATACATATGTATATGTATGTATATCATGTATTTTGGGTATTAACAACAAAAATATTGCATGCAAGTGCATGCATTAAATTGATAACTAATGTTATTCGTTTTATTTTATTAGCTAATAAAACATTTTAATTTTTGTGTCCTTGTAATGTCGTTTTTATATTTGTGATCTCAGTCGTGTCAGTCTTTAGTATTATATCAGATAACTAAGTGGAATTTTGTTAAATGCAGCACTTATCGTACATTGCCCAACTGGACATTACCATGATGCTGAGGCGCCCGATTACCTCCGGCAGCCGGCAGGCGCCGGATCCGTACGATCAGTTTCTGGAGAGCCGCTGCATGTATCGCAAGCACACGGCCCGGGACGCGTCATGCCTATTCCGTGTAATAGCCGAGCAGATGTATGACACCCAGATGCTCCACTACGAGGTTCGCTTGGAGTGCGTGCGTTTCATGACGCGAAAGCGACGCATCTTCGAACAGGTAACTAACAAAAGCGGGCGGGAGAGTCAATATCTTTAATTTAAAACCGATTATAGTCTCGAAAGATATTTGCATTGGCTTTTATGATGGACAGACAACGTGGTTTTGTCCATAGATCTATAACTATTAAAGCTGTAATTGAATCTCATCAAAATGTTTATTATTATTATACTCTTATGTGTAACCACGTTTTCACAGCATGTGCGTGGCGATTTTGATAGCTATATGCTGGACATGGCCAAGCCCAAGACATATGGTACCATGCTGGAGCTGCGCGCCTTGTGCTGCATGTACCGGTGAGTAATTCGCAGAAGTCAGAAAATGAGCTGTAAATTAATTTGTATGCTTTTAGCCGCAATGTCATCTTGTTTGAGCCATTCAATTTGGGCACCGCAGTTACCTATAACGAGCGCTATCAGGATAATTTTCGTGTGTTCTACACGAATGAGTTTCATTTTGATTCTGTTTACACACTGGACTACATTGAAACGGCGGCAATAAGCCAGTGTTAGTTGCTTCTTATTCTAATGTTAAAGAACGTATTGATTACGGGCTTAAATATATTACAGCAATCAGCTTTAAACTGCTTTATAAGATGCTCTTCAAGCTGCCTGACGTGAATTTTGCGGTTGAATCGATGTTGCATCCGCAAACGTTCGATTGGGGCAATTACGAGGTGGAGCTCGATGCGAGGGGCTACTTTGTGCGCATTATCTGCTGCGATGGACGCACTTTTTCGCTTGATCTGCCCGAGAATACAAAGTGTATACTCGAGAACTACAAGCTTTGCAATTTTCATAGCAATATCAAGCAGTTGCCACAGAAAGGTTTGGGTGGAAGGCGCTCCACATCTGTGTCTTCTGCTTCGGAGTCCCCATCTAGGCGCGATCTAAGGCTGGAACTGCCGTCGAACACCATAATAACTAGCGAGAGTACAGAGGTGCTGCACATGTGTCCGAATCCCACGAACTCTTGTGTGCGTCAGCTTCTAGATGATGGTAAGCAAATGTATACAGATATGTACAGATATATAGACTCTAAAATGTAATGGCTTTTATCTCTCCATAGGCATCACCCCATTTCCCTACAAGGTGGCTAAGTCCCTGGATCCCTACATGTATCGGAACATCGAGTTTGATAGCTGGAACGATCTACGCAAGGAGGCCAAGCGCTATAATGTTTACGCTAATGATTATAATTTCAAGGTGTGTACTGGGCCAAGCAAAAGTGGCAACATCGCAGCCTAGCTGATTACTGCTAACTCCATCAAAACGCATCCAGTCCAAATTCAATCCACATCCAAGTTTAATGCTTCCAATCCTGACTCCTGCTCCTCATTTTCAGGTGGGTGCCAAGTGCCGCGTGGAGCTGCTGACCGATGCCGAAAGACAATTGTACACATGCCACATTCAAAAGATAAGCGCTGATAAGTCCTACTGTGTTGTCTATGTCGAGCACTTTGGAAAGAAATTTTTGGTACGCCCCAAACCCCTCCTTGGAAGCTGCTTCAACGCGCGCAGCCCTCCCTTGCCCGAAATTTGTAATTTCCAGCAGCTTTAATTGATTTCCCGTCTATTTCGTTGTGTATACCAGGTGCCTTACGAATCATTGCATCCGGTGCCGCCGGATGAGTTCCGACCGTGGGCGGTGCCGTTCCGCTATCAGCGTCAGATGCAGCGTATGCATTTGGCCAAGTTGGGTCAAAAGCCCAAGCCCAGGTGGAAGAAGGCCAAGCTGTATGATGTGGCCAATTACTTTGAGGCAAGCAAGTGCGAAGTTTTGCAGTATCTGCAGCTAGACACCTGTTACGGTTGTCCTCCATTATACAATGAGCATGGAAGTCTGCAACAACAGCAGCAGTCGCAGCAACAGGTTGAGGTTAATGAGTCGGCGGAGTTGGAGCAACAACCGCGGGAGCAGCGCTTCCAGCCACGCGACAAGCATTCACGTCTTCAGCAGCAGCAGCAGCAGCAGCAGCAGCTGCTGCTGCACCCACAACAAGCACCGCCAGCTGCTAGTGCATCCTCGTTGCCGTCACCGCAACATCCAAAGGCGCCAGCTACTCAGTTTGTTAACTATATGCCCATGGGTGGGCGACCTGGTCATATTCCGCCGCCGTGGCGCGGATCGACGCTACCCATGCCAGAGGAATTTCCGGCTGGCGTCTTTCCGGGACCGCAACTGACACCCGATGGCTGTATGTTCATGCACTTTGGTGGATACGCGCCACCGCCGCCCATTTCGCTGCAACCGCCGCCCCCGCCGCCATTTGGCACAGCACCATATATGTTTGCGCCGCCACCGCCACCGGCTTCAATATTGCTGCCCTCAGTAGGCAAACGCTCTGGCTGCAGCACCAGCAGCAACAACAGCTGCACTACCAGCGCTGCTACGACCACCACTAGCAAAATTGGAACGCGCTGGAACGAGGATCAGTCAGAGCCGCGCCGTTCGCTACATGCCAATGGCGAGGATTTGCCCGCTGATTTGGGCACCTTACGTTACTTCTATAATATGGGCGTCGATATGCATATGCGCTTCTCACATTTGCTGACACCCGATGAACAGATGAGGATGTGCGCTAACAAGAATAACAACCAAAACTATCACAACACGGACCAACAACAAAAGGAAAGGAACGATGAGGCAGTTGTTCTGGCAGCGAACTCTACCCCACCGCCCTCGCCGGTGGCAGCAACTGGAAACAATTCCCCATGTGCACCCGCTACGGAGCCAAACGCAGACAAGACGCGCTCTCGTCCCAAGCGTGGTGCTTTCAACAAGGCGCGCTCCAAGCGCCCCGAACAGCTGCCCGATCTCAACAAGGATCAACATCTATCGCACGCAATGCTGCTGCCCACGCCAACTCCATCGCCCAACACCAACGGCAATCAGTTTAACTTCTATCCGACACTGCAAGCGGCGCCGCCAACCCAACAAGCATTGCCACCGCCACCGATGCCGCCGCCGATATTCTTTGCCGCCCACAAGGGTGTTCAGGTAAACTATCTTAAATATAATGAGAACAATATATTGCATATTCGACTGCATATTTATATTAATATTATTTTTTTGTTGCACTCTTTAGAATCCATATGCTTGGGGCATGGCGCCACCACCAGCAGGAATGCCGTACGAGAGGATTAACAACTATAATATAGAGGCAGGTGGAGTAAATGCACAGCAGTCTCCCTCAGCCGGCTATGGGCCACCACCGCGTCAATAAAGCGCCGCGACGCGATTTCAATTTTGTATGCAACTACCAACAACGCACTCTATATACTAAATGCTCCATATAAACATATTACATATTACATTCACACTATGTATTTAATTATAAGACAACTTCACAATTTGCATTTCATCGACTTTTAAAACTTGCTCGAACAACAATAACTAAATAACCATTCGCCGTTTTAAATTTGTATTAAATATAATTTTAAAAATATCACAGTAAACCAGTTTAATATCAGATCAAACATATAAAATCCATAGAACTATCGCATTATTTAACACGCAACATAAACAAAAACATCAACAATTTTAAATATGTCATTTATGCAATTTTATGCGATTTTATTAGCAAACAACTTCAATTTCGAGAGCAACAACAAGAAACGCATTTACAATCAATTTATTTATACATTTTTAAAAATTATTAGCTAACATATATATCTAAAATTAAAAGCGGGTTGCTTTCTTTTTTGTTTTATAACAAATTACAATGTTAAACCTCTTCACGCAACAATTTAAAGTTTACAACAAACAATACACATGTATGTATATATATACAAATTATTTAACAAAGAACTACAAAAACAAATGTAACCTTATAACGAATCAAAATCAAAATGGCCAGAGACGAAAAAAAAAGATGTACGGAAGTGTAGATTATTGGGAGAAATTTGGTAATGGTTCGTTTGTACGTGGTGTTTCGAAAGCTTTGCTGCAATATTCATTCTGTTTATCGGACTATTTTCACCAACTATTAGACTGATGAGGTAGAAACCATCATTCTCAAAAGCACACTAATGAAATCAACTTTGGAAAACCTTGCGAATTGGACTTCTGAAACGATGATGTACGAGAAAATAGTTGAAAAAGTTGTTTATATGGAATGGATGTATATACCAAGGCTGGAAACCGAACCGAACCGGTTCGAACCTGGAATGTATATATTTATTGTGGAACCATTTATGTTTTTAGCTTAAGCTAAGGTTCGATCCTGCGTTCGCAGCAGATAAGCAAAGCCAGGTACACGAACTGAACCTAAAGGTTGGGAGCTGGTTCGGTTCGTAAGCGGAACCGATGAAAACTTTTGATTGGATCTACAGCCCTGGCAGCAACATAATATGCACGGCTCTTTCTAATATTCGATTTGATGTAGGCTGCTCATAATGTTCAGAACCAGCTGGAAAAAGTGTGGAAACGCTTTTCCTGCTGTCTGGCGCTGAGCACGCATCCGAACGGGCTAAAAGGTTTTGAAAACAAAAAAAAAAAAATCACTTGACTGTTCCAGGGGCAGGCGCCACACTTACCAGGTTCCGGCCATAGCCCTGGTCAAGGAGCAGCAGCATCACAACCAGAAGCAACAATAACGAAACCATCGAGAAGAATCGCATCTTGAACGAGCCAAGTTTTTTCGTTTGCCGTCTCTTTTGCACACGTTGAACTTGTAACAGTTTTTCGTAGTGTTTCGTTTTTTACGCTTTGTATTTTTTGGGTTTTCAGTGCGCTCGGCTTTTTTGTTTTTGTGCCCGATTTATGCTTACAAACTGAAAACGTTTCACAAAAGTGTCGGATTTTTATGCTGAATTCTCAAATCGACAAATGGGCGGCGGCACCAGGCGACCTAGATCTAAAATTTTTGAGTCACATTCGATTATTGTGCTAAACTCGGTTGTTATTGTACTTTTTGTTTTTCTTATGTATATTTTGCATCTTCAATTGCTGTCATTTTTATTAGAAGGTGTAGCGAATAAAAAACGACTCGACCTCTCACAGCAGGAGGCCGCCAGATGAGTGTAATTCAAAATACAAACATTTAGCATGCAGTTTGCTTATCACGCAATGCGTTTATCATAATCAATATTGTGAGACAAGATTTGGAGTGTGTCTCGCATCAACCCATTAAGTACGTATATATTAAATAAATGTTTCTCGGTTCCCGCCGACAATCTTCCTAAATGAAACGTATCATTCAAGATCAAATGTGAATATTCAATTATAGCCGAGGCAGTGAAACACTTGCAAAAGTAAATTATTGGCTTATATGTTTTACAAAAAAACTAACTACAGAAACTAATAACATCACGTATTAAGCAATTAACTGACGTACATAAATATATATTTATAGGTAGCTATTTAAGTACTTACTTATATATTGCACTTGCAAGAAGTAAAAGAATTCTTTCTTTCGGCTCTATTGCACACTTAAATATCATTCCGTCATCTACTAAGGTTGCCAAAATTATAAGCACTATATATGAAATAAATAAGTTTCTTCTTTATTTACTCTGCATGAATGTTTTATTTTATGCGTCATATAAATAGTGCTACGATAAAATTAGAGAGAACATGCTTATGCAAAAGTTAAAAATTGTATTATTTTACAAGAAATCCTATTAACTTGTTATTAAAATAACAGTCCAGACAAATTTGTATGTTAAATTCAAAAAGGAGCTTTGGTCTGCAGTGTGACCAGAAGTCTTCATTTTTCGGTATTTAAGGTTACAGGAATAAAAAATGGCAACAATTATCATGAGAGCTGCCACCTGTGCAAAAACTATTTTGAATAAACAGATGCAAAAGATTCACTTTAGTGTAAAAAACCCGTTATAACTCATATGGTTATAGGCAGTTGAAGTTAATTAAAAATTAATTTATTTCGTACATTTTTATGCATGTACTTTTGCGAATCATTTAATTGTGATTTTTTGGTGCTAAGACTAAAAATACTAAACGCCTTGCTCAAGATGGAAACAAACAGAACAAAAAACTTGCCAGACCACATTGACTCTTACGGTATGGCAGCCTTTAAAGCTGGCGCCACGGTTTTTTTTTTATCGTTAAGTTTCAAAAAGCTACTTTACACTTTGCTTATTTCAAAATGTGGAAACAGCCTGCTGATTTTAAATATATATTATTATAAAATCAGATTATAATAGATATCTAATGAGGATAAGAAAAAATTATAACAATATGTGTTTTTTTTTTCAATATTTTTTATTTGTTTGCAATGAAACCTGCGCGCCCGCCTTGTGGGCGTCCAAGCCGTGTAAAAAACATAGTAACTAAGACCAGCCAGAGGTAGGCTGGCAGCTGGCAGCTGGATGCGCTAGCGTCGTAAGCGTTGCGCTTAGTACGACGGAGCTGAGTAGCTGGGGCCGGATTGGCCGTGACCACCGTAGCTCTGGCTACCATAGTTACCTTCACGCTCGCCGGCAATGTTGGCCAGAGCGGAGAGACCATGGTTGCCACCCTGGAGCAGCTGGTAGCCAGCGCTGGCAGCGGCATTGTCGGCACCAGAGGCGTAGGCGGGCAGAGCCTGGCCACCGGGGCCATGCTGTTGAGGACCAGACACAATGGGACCGGGCCTGTTCAGAATGTGGTGTCCATGACCCTGTCCAGCGCCGTGGGAGCCCTGGCCGTAACCCTGCTTGTTCTCATTGACGAAGTACTTCTCTGCTGGGGGCTTCACCACATTGACGAAGACAGGCTCAACCTTGACGCGACGTGGGTGGTGCTTGACGTAGACCTTGCGGAGCACGATTGCTGGGGGCTTGTGCAGCACAACTGGGGCGGGCTTGACAACCAATGGAGGATGGTTGACCAGCACCTTGGTGGGCGGGCGACGCACAATGATGGGGGCCGGACGATGGATCAGAATTTCACCCTTGTTCTGTGGGTATGTGATCGAAGAGGTAAGGGTGTTGCCCTTGGTGTTCACCGGCTTGTAGGGAATGTTCTGGTCAGAGCCATAGCTGCTCTGGCCGGCCTGGGCAACGCCCGAGGCATCAGCACCACCGGCCAAAGAGCCAGCAGCGGCGCCTTCGCCCAAACCACCAGCATGACCGAATTCACCAGCACCGCCAGCGGATGCAGCGGCTGCCGCATCGCCACCATCAGAGCTGGAGCTGTAGCTCTGCTGTCCGCCAGAGCCGTAGGCCTCCTGGCCGCCAGAGCTGTAGCCCTGTTGTCCGCCGTAGCCGTTAGCGCTGGCGCATGCCTGATAGAGAAACGGAGAAAGGGAGAGAGCGAGAGAAAGAGAAAAAGAGAGAGAGAGAGAGAGAGAAAGAAAGAGAGAAAGGCAAATGAAGTTGTGCGTTGAATTTAGTTGAGATTCGCTCAGATGTGCTGCGACTGCGGGTCATCATCGACTGGCGACTAGCCACAGATCTGGCCGTATTATTTACGTACAATTAAGCAGGCGGCTAGCGCCCAAATGAAGCTGTGTCTGTTCATCGTTTCCAGTCCCAGTTGGCAGTTCGAACTCGAGTGGCTCGTTGTGCGACCGTCTGATGTCTTCTGCTGCCTTAGTTCGGTCAGAGATTTCTTTAAATATGCTGCCATTGGACGCTTGCCCTATGGTACGTGACATTTGGCCCGGTCGGCAGCCGCTGCCGGTTAACCGCTGGTTCCGCTCCAGCCACGGCCCGTTGTTGTTGCATTTATTTTGCTATTGCCCACGCCAGCTAGCGAAACATGGCCAAATGCTGATTGCTCGCACGCATCTCGTCGCGCATATCTCGGCGTGTTATATAGAAAACAATAACAAATATTAACCGGCCAACAATCCGCAGCTCCCATCTCGTGCATCGTGCCCTGACACATAAGCCATATCGAGGTTTTTCAGACCAACAAGCAACCGACTGTCTGCGGAGATTGCGATTGCCAAATGGCTGTCAACAGTTCCGCATTGAAAGCTCCATGCGATTCGATTGTCGCTCCAATTGCTCTGCTCTAGATCTCTGCCGCATTGTAAGTACCAAAGCCGAGGCCCAGCTCCTTTAAGACGTGGGCGTTAAAATCTGGATAAATTATGTAGCTACTAATTAAATTGTTCTATGATGTTTGTCAAATGTTTTCACACTACACTGAAAACAATTGCATTACGGTTGAGTAAATTTCCATAATTTAATGTACATTTCATTCATGTTTCACAACTATATCCAATTAATCTGCAGAGGCTGATTATTCGTATTCTTATTTGTACTCAAATCCCTTGAAATCAAAGGTGGCATACACTGAAAAAAAATGAGTTGCTGACAATTCCGAGAAAGTGACTAATACAAATTGATGTTCAGTTTTGTTTTAATTAAAGTAGAGGCTTCGCTAGTCTAGACAAGCTTCCCGTGGATAAGACAGACATTAAAATTAATTAAATTTATTTAATTAATTGCTAATATATAAAAGAGAACAATGTTGACAGTTTTATGTGATAGTCATCTCTATTTTCCAACTACTTATATTAATACAAATTTGTATAAAGTTAGAGAGTTTGGATTTATAACAGCTGCCAAATAACGATTGGGCGCTTCGAGTCATAAATGGGTAAAAAATATAAAAATACGTATATAGATTATTATCGATTATCTATTCAGCTTGGGTTACCATTTAAGTTATTCCTATGTATATAATATATATAACAAGAAGTTAAAACAGCTTGCAGACTCGATGAATAGTTAAGCGATTCAGATTGGGGCATATAAATGAATAAAGAACTGGGCTCGAATCCTCGGCTAGTATATTGATGTGAGTCCGTTATAGTTCGTTATCTAAGAGTTTTAGCTTATATCCAACATAAGGGATTATCTATAAAATATCGCAAATTAAAGTATTTGTCTAAATATATTATAGACTAACATTTCTTGGAATAGGAGAAAGCAGCTTGTTAAAGAGTTTGTCTTTCCAGCTCAGATCAAAGGCAGATCGAAAACTTTCTGTTCATTTGGAAAGCACCAAAAACGCAATTCTCTTTTTTGAAAAAAAAAACCTATTCCTTAGTATTATTATCATATTCCCATTCATATTGTACAACTGATCATATGTGCAGCTAAAGTTTTCAACTCTAGCAAGAGGCAGGTCGGCAAAAAAGAGGTGCTCTCTTTCTTTTAGAGACTAACTAGATTATTAGTTTCTATATCATTTTATGTAAATTATCCAATATGCTGCTGCTTGAGTTCCGCCAACACTCGACAGACATATAAATTTATATACATATATATAAATATATTTCATAATTGTAATTTCGTAACCAGCAAACGGCAGCAGAATTTCTAAAGTTGTCACAGAAAGAGATCTTAAATAAAGTGCTGAACAGTCAAATAGTGTCAAGTGTTCAGTTCGGCCTTTGATCTTGGCCCCCTTTGCTGTCTATGTTGTCAATATGTTTAGGTGCATATATGCACAGATTGCAAAATAAGTAATCAAAATCTAGAAAATGATAATAATGATATGGTACGATCTACGCAATTACGCCCACCCTAAGCATTCTCATGTGCTGCATAAAAGTACATGTTATTAACACGCGACAGGTAAGTATTATAAATTGTATGTTGGGGAAAACTCAATGCGAATGATAGAGTCATATGCTAGATGGGAGAGGCGTGGCAGTACAGTAAACACAATATCTATAGGTATTTTGGGCTTTTTTTTTTTTTTTTATTTGCATTTAGAAAAAAAAAAACAAAGTTGTTAATTTAAACACCCTTCAGCTGGGCTCTGGACTGCTCGACTGCTGTGCTGGCAGCGACAGCAGCTGCAAGTGCCGAGATTGCATCTGGCTTAGTAGCTGGGGGAGCCATAGGGAGCTGGGCTGGCGTAGAGGGGGGTTTCAGCGCCGGCGGCATAGCTATCGGAACTGGGACCGGAGTTGCCAGCGCCGGAGCTGCCAGAGTTGCCATATGACTGAGGTTGGCTGTAGGCCTGAGGCTGGTTGTAAGCCTGGGGCTGGCCATAGGACTGAGGCTGGCTGTAGACGGGCGCAACGACTGGGGCCAATGGGGCCTCGATTTTCTTGCCCGGCTTGTAGACCTTGACGTAGACGGGGTTAAGGCTCAGTGGTGTGGGCACCTTGTTGATCACCTCCTGTTGGTAGATGACCGAGGGCTTGATCTTGTAGATGACAGGATTGCCGCGCACCACGGTCGGTGGGCCGCTGTTCACATGGGCGGGTGGTGCGCCGGGCTGGTGCACAATGATTGGCGGCAGGGGTTGGGTGGCGATCACCTGATGGTTGTTGTGGCCCGATGGCACCAACAGGGAACGGAACAGATGCTGATCGACAAACTGGGGCGACACCACATTGATCTTGCCCTGACGAATGTTGCTAGCCAGATTGGTCTCAGCCAGCGATTCGGCAATATCCTCGGAGTTCTTCAGCTTCTGGTAGGTGGGATTGTTGTTCAGTGCCTGCAGCTGAGCCTGGACGCGTCCCAGACGACGTGCCTCCTCCGGCGATGGCTGAATCTCAGCCTGTGCCGTCAGCTGATTGGCTGATGGCTGTGAGCCGCCGGTCGCAGCATTCACATACTCCTCCAAGCCTTCCGATGGACCACCGGGCAGATACTGTATCTGACGGCCAGCACCCCTACCTGGCGAACCGTAATTAGCGCTCACCAGCTACAGAACAGAATAGAACAGAATTTTGATTGACATGATTAGTCGCCTGTTGGCGGAAATTATCGGAGATCAGTGTCGTGGTGTGTCGTGTTGGCCACAGGTTAACGTACCGGTGCGGCGGCGACGGCGAAAAGCCCAAACCAGAGACCAAGTTGCATTTTGTGTGGATGCGTGATGTGTCAGCACTCAGATGTCTACTGCTCGTTGGATGGCCACGGTGCTAGCTCTTTATAGCGGCCTATGGCACCGTTGGGCCGCATTTATATCGCGCTCACGTTGCCGACACCGCCACGGCCCCGGCTACGTGATCTTTGCGATGCCATTGCCACCGATTTACATTTCCGATTTGCAAATTTTTGTCGCACTGCAGCGACGACGACGACGACAATGTCTTCTGACTCTCTTGTTCTTGTTGCACTTCTCAAGATCTCTGTCTGTCTGCGCTCGTGCTTCTATCTGGTGCGGTTGTTTGTGCTGCCCAGCACCAGTCTTGGACTCGCTACAGTCCCAGAGCATCAGCAGTGCCGACAATGCTCTGCATAGATGTGGATGTGGATAGCCAACAATTGAGCCAACTTCAAGTGACAAAACCTACTCAGAAATCTTATCAACAACAGCTTGGACTTATCATGCTCATGCTAAATTTAAATCACTTTAATAATCTCAAATATGAAATGCCAGCGGAATCTGAGTTCTACTCGGATAACATATTTTAGACTTTGCCAAACATTCTTAAGAATGAGGAAAAACGAAAAAAAAAAGACAATATTCCTGTGTAGAAAAGAAGTGATTAATCTGAACTAAGCGCAAAAGCCATTAATGCTTATCCACAAATTGGCACATGATCTCTCTCATATGTCATTTTTGGCTTGGAAGTTATCTGTGCTAAGAACCTCAAATTACAAATTACAGTTAAGCGCTTTGATATATATCATATGGCTATCTTAACTTACTCAGCTATAAATATATTTGTAGCAGCATTTATTACAATTCATATAATTATTATATTATCATACATTCACTTTGAAAAACGAAAATCCATGTCTTCTACGCACACGCACACAGCTCATGGACGCTGACGCCTGGCAAAATTTCAAGCAGTGCGTAGAGAAAACAAGCAGGGCACACCGAGCATGCACTAATACATGTGCGTTTACCAATACACGTGCGTATCTATCGAAATCAACGCACCGAACTAACAAAGTTGATTGCTTACTAAAGCTAAACTAAAATGCGCCACAAATTTGCTGAAGCTGGCAACTCAATTACGTGATTTCTTAGCTTTATAATGAATTGTTAAATTCAGCCCAAGGCGAACATAGCGCGAGTGTAAGAGATTGATTTTAAAGATAGCTGAGACTTAATTTGTATTTGTTTTGGCGTTTATTAAATGCAAATTATTATTAAGTTAGTAGCTAAATTAATTTAGTTAGACCCTGTGTATTAAGTAAATTCAGAGTCCGCGCTTATAAAGCAAATAGGTCAGATCGCGCGTGGGTCGACTGCCGTAGTCATTGAAGGCTGACTTAAACGGCAGCTGCCTGTCCAGATCATCACGCCGCGACCCACTCGAGCTGGGCGACATGGCTGATGTGGGCGCTGTCTGAGATTGCGACGTATGCAACGTGTCCTCGCTGGAGCTAATAAAGCTTGGACCAGATGGCGCCGACTGAGCTTGCGCTGGATTTGGCCTGTAGCGTTGACGCTGTGGACTACGCGGCTCGTCAGCGTGTGTGTGCTGGGGGTGTGTGTGCTGGGTGTGTGTGTGTGTATGTGTGTGTGTGTGCTGTGTGTTATGCTGTGTTTGCATGCGTGGATAAGTGTGTCTGTAAACAGTGTGTGGGTTGTAGCGTGTGTTTGGCCGTGGATAGCCATGTGCATAGCGCTGATGCTGATGCTGCTGCTCTTGCTGCTGCTCCTGCTGTTGCTGGTGTGCCTGCTGCCTCAGATAGTTGTCTTTTAGGGCCATGGACTCGCCATCGAGACTTAACTGGGTGACCAAATTGGGCTGACCATAACCAGCAGCTCTGGCCAACTGATGCTGCTGCTCCTGTTCCTGCTCTTGCTGCTGTTCTTGATGCTGATGCTGTAGCTGTTGGTGTTGGTGTTGGAGTTGTTGTTGCATTCCACCTGGCCGCTCCGCGCCGGGCAGATACTCATGATGCACTTCCTCGTGCACACCGTTGGTGGTCTGATTGATGATGCGATTGTAATCATCGTTGGTGCCGCCCACCTGTAGGTGAATGGCATGCTTGAAGTCATCGCCCAAATGCTTCAGCCAGAAAGCATCGTTCACATCGCCGGTGGTATAGATACGTGTCGTCTGGCCGCTCTTGGGTCTGCCAACACCGGCGCTGGTGGCGGCCAGCACATCGACAACGTCATAGAAGCCGCCGTCTGTGCCCGGTTTCGGCGTGACCGCATTATCCTCCAAGTCTTTATTCAACTCCTCAACGCGAGCCGCCTTCTTCAGATCACCACCAACAACCACATCAGCAACGGTGCTGGGGCGGATTGTGGTGCTGCTGCTTGGACTGCTACTGCTGGGACTGCTGGAACTGCTGGGACTGATGCTCGTGGTGTCGTTCTGGTTCTGTTGGATGATGGGCTTAGTTCGTTGGCCCGTCTCGAGGCGAGATTTGAACTCACCTGCGCTATTGCCAGCGGTGCCAATGCCAATAACATTATGGCCATTAGCAGCAGCGGCAGCCAAACAGAGTTGGCAGGCGCGCCCATTCTGTAAATGCTTGATGTATGATGTGCTCCAACGGCTGTCCAACTGAACCCAGCGCCCACAATGAACTGGACTTAAATAGTCGATTGCAGCTGCATGCAGTTTTGCCACGAGCCGTCGCCCAGCGCGCGCACAGACGTGATCTATGCCCCGATATCAGATGCATCATCAACATCATCGCTGTCAACCTTGCTTGATCTTGATGCGTCAGCCGGCCGAGGGTCATCAAAATTGTTAGCACTGGCCAAGTCTCAATGGGCGCGTACGGTCATTGTGACCCATAATTCAGCAAATGAGACCAGTTGTGATTCCTAAACGAACGTAGCCAACGCACTTTGTCATTGATGAGCGCCCAACATGGCGGTCATTTCCGGCTGCCAGCTTTTGGCGGCAACTGTACTCAGCGTACGCTAAGAAAATATGCAAATATACTTGGATTTTGATTTTTTGAAATCGAAGACGATGAACGATTTTATATTCTTTGGCACAATTTATAAATGTTCTCCCGAGTAGTGGAAATTTTGAGGCTTGAGAAGGCATTGAATGCCTACAAGTTGGTAAATGTTTACCCAATTATAATTGTTAATCATAAGCAGACAACCATCAATGAATCTGTCAGTTAAATGCAATATAAAGAACGCTGCGCAGCATTAAGATAGATATATGCCAGGCAGCTGGTCGAATTCTCGAACTTTCTTTGCTTTTGCAAAATTTGTGGCACGCAAAATTAAATTGCTGCTCGTCTAAACGAATGGAATGTAAATGGTATGCAATTGAGAATTCTACAAGTGCATGACAATTTTTCGCAGCCAGTAAAAGTAGTAGAATATAATCTACTAGAGCACGACAAGGCAAATTTGATCAGAATTTCGCTTTTCGAACGAAACGATGCAATTGCGAGCAATTGTGACTTAATCGATAAATAGACTATCGATAAATTGGCCACTTCCTGTTTGAAATTGCGTCGCCATGTTGTCAAATATTTAACATCCGTTAAATTTGACACTTAAGCGAAAACATGAACGTGAATAAGAAACGAAAAATCTAGTTGAACAACAGCAAGATGTGAAAGTGCTTGTTAACCTTGATAGGAACACGAGCACGTAAGTGTGAAATGCATGTTGGAATTATGTTAAATGACGTTAAAATATATATATATTATTCTATTTTTTTTTATTACAAGCGAGGGAATTGTCAGAATTCATCAAATAATAGATTACTGCAGCCAGTTGCTATTAAAAGAGTTCAACCGAAACAGTTCGTGTTCTTGCATATTTAAGTTGTGAAGCTAGAAATGCAAAGAGCCTAATCCTCGTGTTATAGCTAAGCTAAAGTAGACATAAATATGCCATTTATTCTCCGTCTAAGTCATTCTGGCAAGTAAAAAGCACGAATTTGGGTCTGCGATTTCGAGCTGTGGAAGTAGCAGCAGTATGAAAGGTGGGTTTGTATAGTTCGTAACTAGCTTTATGCTGAACACTAATATTAATAGTTATAATATAGAAATAAATAATGCACGATTAGACATAATAAGCACAAGTTGAGCAAACATTTTATTGAATACTTTTCGAGCATAACTGAGAAGCTGACGTTGAAACGTGAACGTCAACAGAAAACGCTCCACGAACGGAATGGACATGGACGGACCGAATTATGAAAAGTGCAATATGAGAAATAAATTAAATACAATTTATATATATGCATATCGTAATACTTATATATATACATCATATATATATATATGTACAAAATATACAAGTGAAGCGGGCGCTGTTCCACTGGCCCAAATAAATGCGCGCCAATATTCGCCGGGCTCAGCAGAATTCGGGCAACTACTTGGCCCGGAACGTTGGGTCATCTGCTTTAGTAGCCGTAGCCATAGCCGCCGTCGCCGTCGCCGTAGCAGCTGCAATGAGAAGCGAATCAGAGTGTGAAAAAAACGCCACAATGATTTTCCATTTATTTTGTTATTTTTTTTTTGTTTTTTTTCGAATTTTTTTTTAAGAGTTTTTCATGTTTATTATAAACTAGCCAACTAGCATAGAAGTAAACCACAGAGTTCCCTAACAACTGCACTATATATTACAAGAGATTTATGTGCCCGCATTAGACGCGGGCTTAGCTGGGGATGGGGTTGGGGTGGCAGGTGGAGGTCGGGTGACGCCTAGAACCAGGCGCGCAGATAGTCGCTGATGGGCGGCATATTGTATGTATCCACGCTGTAGCCGTCGTGGGTGTGACTATTGTAGCCATACATCTTGGAGGGCGTTGTCGAGTAATCAGCTCGGAGCGCCGATTCGGGCTCAGTGGAGGTATCGAAGCCCCAACCGCCGAGACGACCATCGATAAGCTTCTTGAGAAAGTCGGTTGTTTGCTTCTTTTGCTCGGGCTCTGGATCCACCAGGGTGCCACCATAATGTGAATTGTTATCAACATAATCCGGATGCTGGTACACAAGGCCCGATATAATGCTGTCCAGCTGATTGTGAGCCACATGCTCCACGGGATAACCACCGCCAACGCCCAGCACGGGTCTTGCATGGGTGCGTGGACTTATCGACTGTAAATCACCGGCAAATTGCAGCGGCGTGGAGCTTTGCTCCAATGGATCTGGCACCGAGGTGGTCGACAGCAACGAGCGCAGATGCGAGTCATCCACAAATCTATACTCATTGTAGATGCCGGTCAGCGGTGAGGGTATCTGCTGTGGGTAAAAGCCCAGCGCAGCACGCTTGGCGGGAATTGAGTTAACCAGCGATGGTGGTGGCGGCAGTTCCTGTTGGTCTGCTTGCTCCGGCTGCTCTTGTTGCTCCTGCTGCTGTGACTGCTGCCGCTGATCTGGCTGCTCTGGCAGCTGTTCGGGCTGTTCGGTGCCGCCTGTGCTGCTGAACTGTGGAGCATCTTCTGTGGTTTCGGGTGGTGCAGTGGCTGTAATGGCGCCACAGCTCATATGGCACTGTCCACGCTTAAAACTGGGATTAAGCGTTTCCGGCATGAATTGTATGATCTCTGGAGCCGTTAAATCGGCGTTGGCGCGCTCCTGCTCCAGCAGATCATACTCACCCTTAATGTCACGTTTGCTCAAATGACGCCCCAAGCCCGGCCAGCGTTTGCTTTGAGCGGGCGTCTTTTTCGATTTGCGCTTGGTCTTGGTTGAGGACATCTCCTGCACCGGAACTAATCCCAACATGCGCATCTTTTGCTGCTGCTGTGGGCTTAGATCCTTGTGATACAACTTAACATAACGAGCTGGACGCTCCTGCAACAGCTGCTGGCGCATTAGGCGCTTGCGCATCAGCGAACCATGCGTGCGCAGATCACGACGACGCCGTATGGCATTGCCATTGACATTGTCATTGGCAATCGGACTCGAGTTGGACTGCTGGGCTACGTACCTTGGCTTGGCAGTGGAGCAGCTGCTGCAGCTGCAGCTGGACTTGTGCTGGGCGCGACAATCTGTGAAAAAAGTAACTCAATTAGTTCAAGTGCCTGGCATAGTCTTGGAATCGTATTGTATGCACCTGCTTTGTTGGCCGTAACGCGATCCACCTTGGCGTACAGCTTGGCTGGCTTGTTTTTGGGTGGTGTCGGTGTACGTGGCTCCTCAACGGTGAAATCAAAGCTGTAGCTTATCTTTGCCTTGGTCTGGACAGGCTTATCCACGCGATAACCGTACTCGCCGCCCTCGTACTTTTTGGGCTTGCTCGGATTGGGCACATTCAGCTGATAGCCAAGCTGTGCGGGACAGGCGCAGCCCTCCTCACCCGTATAGACGACCTGAACGGGCGTGGGTGCTGCCGCAACGTTGACCAGCAGTGCCGCTAGTACCAGCGCCGGCACCAGGGCCAACGCGATCGAGTGCATCATTAACATGGCGTGTGGATATATATTTGAATATCAAACGGTATTAAATGGTGTCTGCTTTGGTGTCTGTCGTTCTGGCTACTAGCCAAAGCTTGGCTGGTCGCATTCTTTATATCGGCTTTGCCTCCATCCAGTGCAATCTCTCACGCAGCCCCATCGACCACGTCTGGAGCGCTGTCTGTTCTGGCCAGCGGCGACGACTGTGGCTGAACTTGAACTTGAACAATGTTTTTTCTGATTGTTGTTATTGTTGTTTGCATTTCACTGCTGCTGCAGACGCTGATATTGTTGTTGTTCTTGTTGTTGTTGGTCACGCTGACCTTTTCAAATAATTTGCGCTAGCGATGTTTTCTGACAAAAGTCATGTTCCCAGCATACGTTGCTTTCAGTGCCGAATCAAGTCTTGGACTTGGGCTTAGGGGCAGTAAAATAATATTTAAATTGTTTGATTTGCAAATCACTTTGCACTGCTTTCATTTGCAAGCGCCGTTTTTGAACGTTGACCTATCGATAAATCGATATATCGATTGGTCAACCATACGCCCAAACGTAAATAATTCAAATTTCGCTCGTTAAAAGGCGATTTTGGATGCATGTATTAAAAAGAGCACGTTTTTATATATGCAACTTTGTGTACACTCTGTGTTGTATACTTTTAGGGCAAAAAATTAAAAAATTCTGATAAAACTGAGCACTTAATCGTGTTCTTTGCTTATTGCAAATTTACCTGGTATTCATTTTTTGTTTCATTCAACTGATTGCAGTCTTGACGTCGAAATAAAAGTTATAATGTTTTATAAGTTAAAATAATAATGTTTCGATATCATATTACTGGCCAGGTTTATATGACACTTGGGCCCATCAGCTTCAGCAGAGCTTCCATATCACTAAGATACATATATAAAATAAAAGCTTGTAGGCATTTCTATTACATTTGCAATGTTTGTGTATTTAAATAGATTTTAAACGCTAACTAAAACATACATACATCATACATCAATCCATCTATCCCTCCTATACATATACAATTATTTACAGGCGGAGCTTATACTGTCTAATAATAGCTGCCATCCAGCTCCTGGCGACGTGCATTGCGATAGGATGTGACGCGACCGGGCTTGAAACCGCAATCGACAGACACTCGTCCGCCCACCTTAGTGTAGCTATCGGTGTTGGATTTTACGCTGTATGTG